TCGTAAGTCTATAAAATAGAAACCCTTCTTGTGAAAGAGTATGACTCTTGATGAGTATATAAGAGAGAAAAAAATTGTTTATGATAATTTTTAAGAAAATAGATAACATTTAGAAAAATATATTACTATTCTCTCTCATGTTAAGTTAAACTATAAACAGACTTGGGTTTTGGGGTATAAAGATTACCCGAAACTCTAATAGCATGCAGAAGAAAATAAAAAGTATCAACAATTGTTCTATGTGGGCAGAAAAGCAAACATTTTATCCTATTGCTTCCACATTAAGATTAGTCCTAATTTTCTAACAAGAACTAAAATAATAAAGATAAATGAATTGACTAAAATGTCACAAGAAATATTTTGATAAAGTAAAATAAATTCAAGAAAAAAAATTGATAAAAACACCACAAGTTATCTCGATATAAGTTGATAACAATTCTCTATGCAATAAGAAGGTTGAAGAACCTCACAATTAGCAAACTTTATTGATTGAACTTTACTTAAATTTATACTTATAAGAGGGCCTATTTATAAGCAAATTCAGCAAGAGTCCTATGAGAAAACAACTACTTTAAAGTTGGACTGTTAACTAGTTATAAGGATTTCTTGATAACAACTACTCTTAGATGATAAGATCATAACTTACACATGTCAAAATATACATTAAAGACTCTTTATGCTTGAACGGCTAACCATGACTTCTAGTAATAAGATTCTTTTTCTCTTATTTCAACAAGAACTTTAAATTGAAAAAGATTTTCAATTTTGGTGATAAGGATATGTTGAAATTCAGTCATGCTTAGTAGGATAAGGATTCTTGATTTTTTATGAGATTTATTTGAAGTTGAAATCCAATCATAAAGAGATGAGTGTTCTGCTGAGAATCCAAGACTTTTAGGACTCTTATTTATCACGTGTTTAATATGCTCCACGAGTCCATCTAAGCTGTCCATGATAAGAGGAAAGAATGGTAAGGAGATTACTTAGTTGGGAGAATGAGATTTTGCAGACTCTTGATGTCTAGCCTATAGATATATGTTTGGCCAAGTGTCCTTAAATTGTAGGACTCTTTGTTGGTCGGTTTTGATGAACTGTACATGAATAAAAACTCTTGTGAAGGATCTAGTAAGAGTCCTTAAGTTGTAAAACTTTTTAGTTCTTGATTTTCTCGGATTGTAAGAAAATTTAGTGGCCCCCTCTCCCCTTTGGTCAATGGTTGGGCCTCCACCTTTTGAGGCTTTCAAAGTTTGGCTCAAGACTTCTTTCTTTATAAAAGAAAACTTGAAAGTTTTCTTGTGTTTATTGATCCATGATATAGTAATATTTTATCCGTATAGCCTAAGTCACCTTGAATGCGAACCATCATAGGCTTCTCTCCACATGGGTGGATTTCCTCATGAATTATGTCTTAATCTCCTCTTATATAGCGCAACCCCTGACCTCTTAAGTTCATGTAGCTATGATTTTCTTTACAGTCGTGAACTCTTATCATCATGTGGGCAGGATTTCCTTTGTGGCTTCGAGTTTCCAAGCTTAAGTGGCTAATATTTCTCATGTAGTCGTGAGCCTTCATGTTTCCTTAAGCTCTCATGTGGCGTAGTTTAATTTGGTCACCTTGAGCATATATTATGATAAATTAGAAAAAAAATAAAAAATAAAAACCCAAATCAAACTAATATATGTATATATACATATGGTTGTTTTTTATTAATGTTTATAATTAAAATATTTATAAAAAATAGATAATAATCAATTTCAGTCTGAACCGAATTAAATTATAATTGTTTATCCCAATCGTACCAAATAAAAAATCTGGTCTTCTGCACAAGTCGTTCTTTAAATTGAACACTCTTAAAAATATTTGAAAACATTTAACTACATATTTACAGAGACGTTTATTTATCACATATATCATGAAAGAAAAGTTTAAAATAAATTATATTAAATGTTTTAACTATAGGTGTGTTGCTGTAGTTACTCTTTGAATTTAGTTTAAAAATATATTCACTTGATAATATTTGTGTGACACTCCATATTCACATTAGTAGTATTAGACCACACTTTCCGCATAGCATTGTTTATAAGGACTTTTCATGTGCTATAAACTCCTTCTTCTATTAAGTAGGTAATACTTTTGCAATCATAAACAAATAAGACCAAATACAAAATCAAATTCAATCCAAAAGTAACCTACATATCTAAAATAGTAATGAGTTTGATGCCCACTCTCATACTATTTTATAAAACCACAAGCCCACTTAAAATATCAATGCTCTTATCTTCTTTACACTAAATATGTACTACATTTTCTCTCATAAGATTACTAATGTAAATGTAGTTGTCATAATTATGCACTCCTCAATTTGCTTAAATGATCAAATTAAGGACCACTTCACTAAGGTGCTTTGGAAACATAATTTCATACTCCATATCATTGATTCCTTTGTTCTGCTAAGATTTCACAATTTCGGTGATTATAAATACCTTTAATGCTTCTTCATTCATCCATCATAAAAAATAAGATTGACTGATCCCGATATGACAGTGATTTATATTGAATTCAAAATTTTGTGATTGGTTTGTAGTAAGGATTATTCTCAGTAAGAAAATAAATAGAAAATATTCCAAACTTCAATCTATTTTTTAAGGTAAAACCTAAAGCTAGAATTTTTTTCATTCAAATGTTTATCATAATTGTATTGTAAATTTATACCCCCTTTAATACATTAACACTTGAAATAATTTCAGACCAGCCTAATACAAAATTAAGATTAAAAATTGAATGAAAACACTCCAAACTTCAGTCTATTTCCAAAGGCGCTGCGAGAATGATTCAAGTAGTCCAACATACTCGCCTCCATTACTTACATCATGCCAACAAGACAGAGCAATTAAGTAACAGAGATATATGATACATAAACCAGTTTTCGTCTTTAAAAAGCTCTCTAAAAAAAGAAAAAAGAAAAAAGCACAGCAGGATTTAAAACCCTCACTTTATTACTTCAAAACAACAACTTCTGTTTCAACATAAATTAACCATATCACTTACAAGCTAACTAGTTTAAGAGAGTTGGCCTTCTCTTGCAAGGTATCCAGCAGGCTATCAAAACTCTTCTTGAAAGATTCAACTCCTTCCAGCTCCAGCTGTGACCCAACCTCATTCCAATCAATCCCCAGCTTCTCAAGGGCACTGTAGATGCCTTCAGCTTCAGATACATTTGAGTCAATTGTCCTTGAAACAGTACCATGGTCAATAAATGCTCGGAGAGCTTGATCTGGCATGGTTGAAACCTGCATAAGAAAAAAGAAATATAAACAAGACTGCTCTCAAATAAATCTCCTTCAAGAAATGGTCACATTCTTCTTCAGAAGCTTGTTGAACAAATAAATCTCTCTTAAAGGAATAAACAGTAATCATCAAGCATACAAGATAAGTTATGAACCCATAAAAGTAGCTCACCGTGTCTGGTCCAATGAGAGGAGCTACATATAAAGTATCAGGGTAGGCAGGATTCTTCACGCTGGTTGATGCCCACAGCAGCCTCTGCTTCTTGGCACCCTTTTTCACTAATGCCTCCCATCTTGGACCCGAGAACTTCTTCTGGTAGAGTTTGTATGCCAGTGCTGCTTGAGCAACTGCAGCCTGATATGATTACAATGCCATGTGAATAAAAAAATCATCTCAACGTTGCAGGTTTCATGTTCTTTAAGCCTAAGGATATGGAGTTACCTTTCCACGGAGATCAAGAGCTTCAGGAGTACCAATCTTTTCTAGCATCTTGTCAATCAGGGTATCTACCCTACTGACAAAAAAGGAAGCAACACTTGTAACCTTTGAGAGGTTATCAAGCCCAGAGGCCTCAAGGCCATCCAAATATGCATCAATAACAGCTTCGTATCTTGCAAGGGAGAATATTAACTAAAGGAAAGACCAAAAGGAAATTATATCAGAATGTTGTCCTCCAGGCTTTGCAAACCAGTAACATGAAAAACAAGTAGTTAAAGGTACTGAAGGATATAGTAGTTAGACGGGCCGAATTTATGCCATTTTCTAATCTTGGCTGGTAGAAAAAAACATGTATACCTGCCTTGGACAAACAGCAATCTACAATCAAAAGATACACTGGAAAATCCTAATACATTAACCGCAAGTTTGGCTTGGTTCCTCATTAAAATCCCACCCTACTCATTCAGTTAATTCCTGCCTCAATTTGAATAACTACCACTCCAAAGAATTCAATGGAAGTAGACTATGTTTTAAACCTCAAAACTATATGCAATTCCAGATATCAATATTAGTCAAGTAATTGAAAGTTCCTCAAAAAGAAAACGAAAGAATAGAGTACAAATTAAATTAGAACTGACCCAAAAACAACTAACAGTACTAACTTCTATCTTTTAAGATTACTTATCTTACTTTGATACATAATGATAATAAGGTCAAAGGAAAGAAGGAGAGGCTTGAGAAACTTACAGTGACATTGACGCTAATGCCCCTTGAAATAACTTCCTTGATTGAAGGGACACATGCAGCAGTAGCAGGAATCTTGATGTACACATTACGGCGATCTACCACTTGGTGAAGATATTTTGCTGCCTCAACAGTCCCCTGGGTATCATCAGCAAGTCTCGGAGAAACTTCAACAGAAACATAGCCATCGCCACCATCTGTTTGATCATAAATTGGCTCAAAAAGTTTGCATGCATCTTGGATATCCTTCACCACAAGTTCCCAATATGCACTTTCAATGTCTTTTCCTGACTGTACGAGTTCCCTGAAGATTCCATTAATTTAAATTATCAGTAACATTGAAAATATCAGCCTGAATAAGAGTAGAAACTTTATAGGACATTCAAGTAAGTTTAGCCGAATGGCTTTTCGTGGGACCATGAGAACAGTAACAAGCCAACACCATTAAGATCCAAACAGATGTGGTTCCTTTCCATGGTGCCTTCACGCAGTGCAGAAAGTTCTTTTCTGTAATAAGCTACAGTACCAGAAATCACTCAGGTCTTCTGTATATCAAAATTCAAGCCCTATTACAGGTATGGGAGTACCATGTCTGAAAGCTTGTAAGCGAATGACCCTCCAAAAGCAAAATACTCAGGCAGGAATTTTGCACCTCTTTTACTGTAAATAGATCAGCAATATGAATGCTCCTAACCATTGGATACTTTATAGGCTAACAAGCTAGTTTCCAATATTGAACTGACATAGGAAAAGATTACAGTCTTTTCCTCCATCACAGTGCCCTTAAGCAAACTTCTGTCACCTTCAACATTGCTGGTGGTTCACTCAGCCAATTAACCCAGCTCCAACCGCTTACAAACCAAAAGGGGAAATGCAACAGATTGACCCATTACCACACTCAAATGGCTTACAACTGGGGAGTCCTAAGATACTGAGAATAACTCAGTTGATCACTTTTTTTTTAAAATAGAGAATACCTGAATTGATCATTATAAGCATTCGAAGATGATATTGCTTTCTGGAAAATCTGCAGGTAGAGAATAGTTCAGAAAAGTTGTAAGTGATCATAATAGTCAATGAAATCACATAATATAAACTTGAAGATTAAACAGAAAAAAAGTACAAAAAAAAAGGAATAAATAAATAATTACCGCAGGGTTGCTGGTTACACCTCTTACACCACTTGCAATCAGTGGAAGCAAATCAGTTACAGGGCGGCAGAGGTTATCATACCATGGACTCTGCCCTTCGCGCTCATATAGATCATGAAGAACTGTTCTCTTTACAGTACTTCCATTTCCCTCAGACTGAGAACACCTGACACTGTGATAAGAACTTACTGAATAGTGAAAGAGACAAATTCTAGGATCAACTACAAATTTGACCAACGAGGTTCTTCTCAAAAAAGAAAAGAAAAGAAAAGAAATAGCCACCGAAAACAATTAATTCCCATATTTCTTGCAAATGCAGTCTAGTAGAAACAAAAAAAAAATAACAGTTAGACGCATTCTAAGGGCCTGCAGGATGGCATAGGCGTGCCATTGTTGATCGGTACCTTCTAAGAGAGAGGATCCATGAAACAGAAAAGAGAAAACAGCTTTTACATGACAAAAGAATATACTCTATAGAGGAGAAGAAATCCAACATGGCAAGCAATTGCCGACCGTTAAAGGCAGAAAAAAGAAGGAAAAAAAAATGATCGGTGCCTAACATATCATTGTAAAAGCAAGACATTCATTCAGGAAAAGTAGTCATAAAGGTAAGAAGGATACACCTGAATATCAGCTAGGCCGCTACATATCACCAAAACATGTATTCTTTGGTATAAAACAAATTCATCATAACGGAAAGGTTATAAACTTCGCCAATCAAGCACTAAGAACCGCAGGAGAAAGGAAATAATATAATCCTTAGTAAGATCAAATCACATGTATTGAAAACGTTTCCCGACCCTCAAGTAAACAGAATAATACAGCCTTTTTCACGGAAGACAAGAACATAGCAAAGATAGATCATATAAACAGTGAATAAAAGAGAAGAGTTGCAAACTCTTCATCGCCATGGACCTGGAACAGAGAATTCAAAACTAGAGAATACTCAAACAGTAAAAAGAAACATCAAAAGAAAATATGAACGCGGAACAAAAATCTATGTTCAAAATAAAATCCTCAGTCAAAACAAAGAAAAAGTTGGAGATCAGCACCATCATCAAAAAAACAAACAATAGAAATGTCAAAGAGGTAAGAAAGAGAGTAACTACACCAAGGAGGCTGCGAAAGGACGTGTGCTCCGTAGAGACAGCTGGGAGGACCTCAACCTAGCGTTGAAACCATTGACCGCACGGAGATAGATGAAGCATTTAGGGGAAGAAGAAGAAGAAGAAGATCGGGAGTTGAAGGACGATGATAGAGTGGAGGCAGGGTTGGGATTGGAGAGCTTGGAAACGGTAGCCATGGTGAGGGAAGGTAGACAGGTGGTACCTGAGAGATTGAGATTCAGGCACGCAGAGAGTTGGTGAGGAAGGAGAAAAAGTTTGGTTATATTTTTCCTCTTCCAAAAAAGGACGCTACTCCGATAGGAAGGAGGCGATGCGGAATTTAAGCTGGGAGAGAGGCCATCTTATGTTGACCGAAGGCGGGCAGGCGGAGACTGGAGACCGAAGGGTATTTGTGGAAATTGGGGACATTTGGGGTTAGATGCGGGTTCCATCTCATGCTTACGTCACATTGTCCCTGTTAAAATTTTTTTTTTTAATTTTTTTTTTAACTTTTCCTTGCTCTAAAGGGTAGTATCTTCCGGTAAGTTCGAGCAAGTTTGTTACCTTGTGACATTCAAAACTTTACTTAGTGTATTCGCATCTCTCCTTTTTTCCAAAAAAAAAAAAAAAAAAAAAAAAAAAGAAAAAATAGATTGGTTTTCATCTATTGTAAATATTTTAATTAAATAAATTTAATTATCACAGTTTCTTTTTTGTTAAATTTGTAATAATTTATTAAAACACAATCCAATTCAACCATTATTGTTCTAATTAAGACATCAATAAACTATACTTTACACCCATTAAATTAAATATTCACATACACGTATACTAAAATAGTAACTAGTTTTATTTTTTCATTATCTAAGAATAAGCACTTCTGCCTCAAGTAGTATTTTGAAAAGACTAGAAATATATTTTATAATTTTTTTCATCTACTTTTTAACAAAAATAATATAATTGTCTTCTTATTGCTACTTTTATTTTTCCAACCACCTTCATCACTGTTATCATCTTGCCCCTCCCACTTTCTCTCAGTTGTTTTTTCTATTGTCACTCTTATTGTTTTCCAAATTTTTCAATTAGTGCAAAAAGTTCCATCACTGAATGCATTGATTTCTCCTTCCTCTTTTGGTTCTTAGCCTAATTATTTCCCGTTTCACTAGATTCATGCAAATTGTATCCTTTATAAATTCCTAAAAGCATTAGCATCTTAAAATAATTTTTGGCGTGCCTCAAAATTGACCAACCAAATTAGAAAATATTGTGCACATATATTAAATGAGCTTTGTTGACACTTTATTGTGCCCAAAAAACCTTGTTAAGAACATGGAGACCCCTTCCTAACATTTAGAGTGCCTAGGATGCCTGTGTATGAGCCTAGAAGCGCCTAGGCAAAATATCATGACTCTCCCAACATTTCTAGGCACTGATGAGGCCTCTACAGGGCACTATTATCTTCTTCTTGATAGATTAAATTTTCTCTTTTATGATTTCCTTAAACTCACACACAAAAACAAAATGGATACATTAAAAACACACACATGCATTTGAAATCGAGAAGAATACAACTAAGAAAGGACCTAAATGAAAACACCTCCCATACATTTACCAGGTCGTTTTTACCTATTTGTGCTCAAATTTCTCTCAGTTTAATTGTTAAAACTCCTTCAAATTCGACTCAAAAGTCTTTCCTGAATAGTAAACCAAAAGTGTGGATCCTTAGTTAGCCAAGTTTTCTTGACTAACCTCCCCTTCCCGACACATGCACACTATTAATTAATTATTTCTGTCCTACGGTAACTAGTTTAGTTACTTTATTTCCTCATGCATTTGATTTTAAACGAATTAACAGGAACTTAAAGCAAATCTTATCAAGAAATCAGGTTGGATTTTCAAGCAATTATACCTATAGACAATGTTTTCGCAAGCTTCTTATACTTGCTTTGTGTTCCTTCTTTGAAACAGCAAGGGTGTTGCTTTCTTTTCCTGAGGATAAAAAGCATTTTAGTTAAACAAATCATGCAGATGGATAAAAAAAATGATTGAAAGAGTTAAGGGATTTACCTCAAAGAAACAGGCCTCCGCGTAATATGTTTTCTTTCTTATCTCTCTCTCTCTCTCTCTCTCGCTAGTTTTCTTTTTTATTTTCGACTTCCAAGTGATTTCTTCCCTCTCAAATGCCCAAGTGGTCTATTTAAATAGGATTCTCAAAATGTTTTAGGCCATCCAATCACGTGTAAGTGATCTGGACCATTGGGGGAGAGAGTGGCCAACCGGTTTTGGGTGCGGGCCGATAGATGCTTGCGACTTGGTGCCTATGCGTGTCAAGTTAACTATGGGGTCCCGTTATCACATATTTTCTACATTTTCTTTCTCCCACAGTTAGGGAATTTTTTGCCCCTTATCTTTCTCAGGGGATTTTCCCTTTTTCGGTGGATTTCCTATTTCCTAAGGGATTTTTCTCCTTTAGAAATTTTTATTCTTTTTGGGAAATCTCCCTCTCAGGATTGGTCCCTTTTGGAGGATTTATCTCCCTTTTAGGGAATTTTATACTTATAGGGAATTTGACATCAATAACACAATGCTCTAATATCAACTTATGCGAGAGGGTATGGGAAAAATTGTTTTGACTTCTAAAACCTCAATCAACACATTCAATCAGAATATCAAGCACCTAATTAACTCTCCCTACTTGAATCTACAGTCACTTATATGGCACGCATAAACAAAAAATAGAGAAATTAAAAAGAGAAGGAAAGACGTTACGACTCACTCGATAAGTCGATTCTAACTCTTTAACTCAACACGATTTTGTAAAACTCTCTAACTTTGAATAAATTGAAGAACACTCCAGAAAATTAGTCAAGCTAATTTTGAGAAAGCACAATTTTTAACTTTTATTGATAAACTAAATTTTGATTTACATCCTAAGATCTAAAGCTTTTATATAGGTTTTTATTTACTTATTCTAATAAGAATATGATTTAGAATTTCTATCCAAACTCTTAAACTTATTTTAACTAGAAAAAAAATATAAAAATATAAAAATAATTAAGTCTTGTCCTAAACTTAACTAAAATAATAAAAAAAAATTAAAAAAATTAATAAAATAATATTTTTTCCTTAATCTTGATCTTCATTGGAGTTTAAATTTGGGTAGAATTTCTCCCCTAATTTTGGCATTTAAATTACATGGATAATTGTGGAAGTCTTGGAATTCTTGTAACATTTGAAAAAGGAAAATAAAAGAGTCTAAAAGGACTTAGAAGTGGGCTAACTTGCAGGCAGCATGCTAGGCGTGTGCAAGTAACGTGCATGTGTCACTCGAGTTGTGTGAGCTAGGCACGTGGGGCTCCTTCATGCGCGTACTAGGCGTTGGGCATGCGTCTGGTGTGCTGCGTACGCACCCATGGGGTGTGCATACCTGTTAATGTCTGCACGCATGCTCACGTGCACTAAGGCGTGTGGAGCTACCTGTCCACATATGCGCAGTTGCGACACATGTGGGTAGCCTATCATGCGTTTGTGTGCGTATTATGGGGCGTGCAAGTGCTGCTATTTGCACCTATGTGTTTGGCTGTGTAGGTGACATGCAGTATGTGCGGGTGCCACAGCTCACATGTGTGAAGGGGCACACACGTTTACCTTATTGGTATCCACACCTAAATCACGTCTTGGGCTTCCTTTTGGTCTGGAACTCGGGGGTCGAGTCTTTTCTTTGTCATGAGGCCCAATAACTTCCTTATTTCTCATCTTTTCTAATTCTACTTCTTCTTAAGCCAAGGTTCGTATTCATTTAATCCTAATTCACTCCCTTGGGCTTGTATTTGGGTAGATTCAACTTAAGTACTTTCTATTCGGGAACACTTTCGGATATGTATAGGAAGCTCATTGTTGTTTATTATTTTTCGTCATTCATTGGTCACAAAAACCTCCTATTTATCACTAGATTTTTTCTCAGTTATTTTCATATCATAATTTATCTAATTTCCAAGGGATTTTATCCCTTTGGGGAGATTTATCCCTTTATCGAGGGATTTTATTCCTCTTGGGAAAATTAGTTCCCTTTTTTAGGGAATTTTAATGGACTCAACCATGTTTACACAAAAGTTTTCACCAAAATTTATGTATTTTGATTAGTCAAGAGTTAACTTTACAACATTACAATCCCCTAATAATGTAGCGTTTTCTAGTTTGTTACAAATTCTACCCTTTAAAAAAATTTGATACCCCAAATTATTATTAACTAAAAATAGCTTAAGATATTTAACTTATATGTCTTTTTTGTGCTCCAATGTAGCCTCTTCTAAGGAGTGATGCTACCACAGTATCTTGACTAGAGGGATTTTCTTCGACCATAGTACTTTCTCTTGATGTTTTAATCTTCTCATGGGCACCTCTTCATAGGTCAAATTCTGTTTGAGTAGAAGGGGTTCGTACGAGATGATGTGCGATGAATAAGGATGATACTTTTAAAGCATTGACATTTGTAATACATTATGTATATTGGAGAGCTTCAGTGGAAATTTGAGTCTGTAGGCTATAGTCTCGACTCTTTCTAAAATTTTATAAGGTTCGACTAATTGATGGCTCAACTTTTTTTTCTTCTCAAATCTCATGATGCTCTTAATTGGGCATACTTTTAGAAAAACATGGTTGCCTACAGTAAACTCAAAATCCTTCTTTTAGTTGTCTGTATAACTTTCTATCTACTCTGGGCAGTTTGGAGGCTTTTCTTGATCACAACAATCTTGATGTAGTTTATTCCACTAATTCTAGTCCAATTGATTTTATCTCACCAACTTCTTCGTAATAAATGGTCTATATATTTATTTTCAAATCTTATTTAATTTAAAGATCTATATTTTCTAAAATTGATTTCTTTTCTTAGCCTTTTCCAAAATAAAGTTTATTGAACAATTTATCTTTTGTCTCTTTGTCCATTTCTAATTTTTTCATTCAGTGCAAAATGCATTGATTTCTCCTTCCTTTTTTGGTTTTTAGCCTAATTATTTACAATTTCACTAAATCCATGTAAATTACATCTTTTTCAGTTCTTTGTATAACCCCAAAAGCATTAGTAATTTAAAACAATTTTTAACATGTTTCAATATTGATCAACCAAATCAAGAAAGAAATTAATGAAATTAAAAAATAAAGGAAAATGTAAACTAATAAGCGAAAAAATTTATCGAGTAAATTTAGAAATTAACTAGAGAAATTGAGTATTGACTTCAAGAATTTGCAAGAAATGTACCAAATGATTAAGAAAAGAAATAGGGTTATATCTAAGGATTTTATTTTTGAAAATGTAGTTAACTTAA